ATAGGTGAAAAAACAAAATGTGACCATGCAAACGTTACGGTACATTTTATATTTTGAACATTTATGTTTACATGTTTATATTTTATATGTGTAGAGTTTTTATGTTTTATACTTATCTTTTATACCTTTTGTACATTATTTTTTCCCAATTTGTTAAACTCTGTAAATAAATAGAAATTGTGCACTAAATTTTGCTGGGGAAATGCCATATTTAAGTGTGTTGTCTGTAGAGGACATGCTGTTTTCACTTAAAATCAACAAAACATAACTTGACCAGGGGTCAACTTCTGCATATAGCGGTGTAGTAATAACAATAATAATAATAATAATAACAATAACAATAACTAATAATAATAATAATAATAATAATTAAAAATGCACAACATTTATACAGCACTTTTCAAAAACCCCAAAATAATGAATAATAAAGGTCCAAGTACTGAACCTTGTGGGACCCCTTGAGTAACAGTGGAAATGGAGCAGCTGTATCCAGAAAAAGAAAAAATGCTGATGATTTGTAAGCAGGAGGTAAGTGAACATAGCATTACAAGTGCTATGTTATTGGTTATTATTCAATATCACACAAATAAATGTTATTACATTTTTCCATTTTGTGCCGATCTATTGTGCACCCCTAAAAATTATGTTTACATACATAAACATCCAGCATTTTTTCACCTGACATGAACTAGCACATCTAGATCAGCTGACCCTCTGCTCAACAGAGCCTGGATTAAAAGTAAAACAAAAAAAAACAAAAAAAACAATGAAGCTTGATTCAGTTGATTTGAACGTCCAATTACCTGCATAATTAGAAAATGCGTGCAAAATGTATACGTGTGTGCAATAAATGGAGCTGTTTAGTGTTTTAATTATGGAGGCAGGTGGACCCCTGCTCTCTAGATCAATATCACAGTAGAGATCAAAATGAAGCAGTCAGACAGGACCCAATTAAAGTAGGTGAGCTGATCAAAGGAGAAATTATTTTGAGGAACATGAAATGTTTCTGGTTCTTGTAGTGTCTGCAAAGCTTTTGCCAACAGAAAATCAGGCCTCTGCACCGCTATTCAGATTCATGATAACATAAAGCCTTAATGTATGATGTAGAACCTCCTCCACCCCCCATTAGACATCAGACACCTACAGAACATACTGTGATGTAATCACCTTTTCCTGTGTGCAATAAAAGAAACACTCCATGTGCAAAACATTTTAAAATATCTCTATAGTGTAAATACTCGAGCTTTCTATTCAGAATTGTTTACACTGTAAAGTCCTGACCATTCCATGTGTAATATAAACCAGTACCTCATGTGCAATACTCCATGTGAATTTCAGGCAAAACATCCTTACAATGTCAATATCTTAGCTTTTTTATTTATTTATAATTCTTTATTTTATTTTTTTGTGAAGGATAGAGTTTATATATTTATCTTATTTTTTTATGTTTAGTTTTAAAATATATTGTCTATATAGTAACAAGTAACAAACTGTAAAAAACCTTGTTAAGTACTTAAAGTTAATTACTTGCTTGTTTATTCTCTTCTTGTTACTTCTTTTTTTCTTGAGTACGTTGCTGTCCCTGTGCTGCTGTAACACTGAGAATTTCCCTGTTGTGGGACTAATAAAGGATTATCTTATCTTTTTTTATCTTAGCTCTTTCATGTACAGTTCTGTGCAAGTCAGGGACCACACTCATCTCCTCAGAGATTTTTCTGAGATTACATATAAGATAATCCACTTGCATAAAGAAAACCACAGCCAAAGAAAAACAAGTAAAAAACAGTAGTGCGTTCAAAAATATACCAAAAGATACAGAGAAAATGGAACCCAACAATCATACAAGACCTGCAAGACCTACAGAACTGTCCCCATCAGATATACAGTACTAAAAGCTTTCATCTCTGAGAGAGAGGAGAAAATCAAGCTGCTTCAGATCTGAAAACATCCACAGGTGTTTCTGTCCATCCTTCCACTGTGAGAAGACGACTCAGCACTATGGGTCTGAAAGGACGTGTAGCTGTCAAGAATCCCTCACTGAGAAAAGGAAAGAGAAAAAAGAAGAAAATCTAGGAATCATACAAAGATGCTCCTGGTGTTCTCAGAACAGTGGACTGACCACCCCAGAGTCCAGACCTCAACATCACTGAATGTTGAGTTTGGATCCTGAGAAGCAGAAAATGCAACCCAAATCTCTAAGACTGAACTTTGAAGGTGTAAATTGTTCTGTTTTTTTTCCCACTGATGCTAAAAATGAATTAAAATTGAGTGTCCTATCACTTTTGCACAGTACTGTTTATATCATCACCGAGATAACAAAACCTTTTATCTCCTCAAAGGAAACTTCAGGAGAAGAGAAAAAAAAAAAAAACAAGAGAAAATTAAACTTAAATTAAACAAATTTACAAACTTTGTTACTGTAACAAGATTTGATTCCATGCGGTTTTGATATGACAGTGATCATATGCTTTTAAGGCCATATTATTCAGCGGTGTGGCTCTGTAGACTTTCTCACTGACTAAATATCTTAATGTTTCTATTGTTTAAAGGCTGTTTGCTGCTTATCCAGAGCGTTCTGCGTAGCAGGGGCTGCCTGTCTCTCTCTCTCTGTTTACAGTCTTCTTTGCTCATTCACATTTTTCTTTACAAAGGCAAGTAAATAATTTCTTTTGTACAGCCTGAGCGACTCCTTTTTGCTTCCCAGAGACAAATAACTGGACTGATTGGTTTATTGACTGTTTTAAATTGTATGGAAGGAAAGCCTGAAATCAGACGAATTGGATTTTGCGCCTCTCTCTCTCTCTCTCTCTCTTCAGTCATGCTCAACCTAGTCCATAAGAAAACTGGCAGAGCCAAGTAACGACAGGGCTGCCTGCTTTTACGAGCCACTGAATGCTGAAAGGCTTTCTGAGCTACTGCCTAACGCGTAGCTGCCACACGCAGAGACACACGACACTGAGGGACTGTAAATGAGCCCTCACTGACAGACTGATGGAGGGAGAGATGACTGAAATAGAGAGAGAGAGAGCGAGAGAAAGAGAGAGAGACAGAGAGAGAGAGAGAGAGAGAGAGAGAGAGAGAGAATATTCATTCTTATGCATCTGTTTTTGGAATTCCTGTTTAAAGAGCACATAGGCAACTTTTTTTTTTGTATATTATTTTTCAGGTCCACTTACAATGTTTGGGTGGGATTTTATGTACCAAAAACAGTCAACCTCTCTTTATCTCTTAGAATTAGATAGGCTGTATTTGTTACTGTGCCTTTAAGACTAGTTTAAGATGTTCTGATTGGCAAATCTGTATCATGTCTCATTCAAAAAACAGCCCGAGTCCAAACATTCTTTAGAACTTCAGTGTGAATGGGTGGAGCTAAACTGCTGTAGGCCAAATAGGTGGATGTATGTAAATGAGTTGGTTCTTGTGGCATAACAGAAACAGTGAATTCAAAACAGTTTTTGCAGCATAGTTTACATGTATGTATTGTAAGGACTGGGTAGGAAATAGTTTGTATTGAAACTTTAATGTTTACATGTTACTTCAAACTGCTTTAGTTTAAAGAAGCCAGGGAAATTTGGTTTTACCAGCTTCACAAGTGAAATTAAGTACACTTTGTGCAAAAAGCCGTCTGGGCTGAAATGTATGGGATGAACCATTAAGGTCTGACCAAAAACCTTAGAAACACTGGGGAAAAAAAATAACTTCAGACACTCTTTTTAGACGTGTGAATCCGGTTTTTAGACGTGTGAATCCGGTTACACTACATGACTTTTACCCGATTTTACCCCGATTCTCAGTCTGGCCGAGTCTGTGCTGGTCGGCTCTAGTCTGCAGATTTTTTGGGTCAGTCTGAGTCGGCAGTTGGAGAGAGAATCGAGCAGCGTGTGAGGGGCGCAGACGTAAAAAGCCGTATGAATTCTGATCTGCATGTTCAGACTGAGTCGCATTGCTGCATAACGGATTCGTATCGGATTTCAGTACCACATAGCGTCTCGAATCGGAATCAAAAATGTCAGATTCAATGAGGTTTTTGCTGTTCACACTGACACACAGATGACACATTTGTGTCACATATGAAGAAAAAGATCGGATTTGGGCCACTTTTACCTGCTGTGTAAACGTAGCCCTAGTAACAGAAGAACGTGTGAGTTTGCACGAGTTCCGTTCGGTTCAGCAACAGATCGTTTAGTGTTTGATCCCCAAAATTTCACTTGCCCAAAAAGGTCTGTAAAAATCAGACAGTGTAAGATGCCCAGTCTTTTATAATCTGTTAAGACTTGAAGTCGTGTAATGTACCCAAGGCTTTACAGAACATACATGATTGTTGCACACTTCTTCAAATATGTGTGCACAATTGCCATTTCTTGTCACATTTTATGGATATTACGGTCATTTATGGATAATGTGAATAACATATATGTTTTTGATCATGTATGTTTTGGTAGTGTGAATTTTTGTAAATATAGGTGAATAATGTCAACAATATGTATATTCATACATGCATATTTGAAAATACTGGACATAATTGGACTTTTGAAAGGCTGCAAAGATCCTTTTGCTTCCTGACAGCCAGGAACATCTCAACATGTTTTCCCCACATCTTTCACTCTAATAACTCGCTAAAAACTGCATGCAGTGACAACACCCCTTATTACTTCAACATGAATGGGTGACCTGTTATTTACATGGTACATCATGCTTTTATTTAAAGCTACACTAGGTAAGATTTGGGGATTTGGATTTGGTGACCTCTCTGGTAGAAATGTGTAATTACACACAACATATGACATGGTCCAAAAACTTCTGTGAGATCCAGCCCGACACCTCTGACTGTTAAATTATTATTTCAGCCTTTACAGAGTGACTTGCGGCAGCACACAGAGACCATGTTTAGCCGGTTTATCTCCTAACATAGAGCAGCTTTAAAAATGCAATGAAAATGTGGTTTTCCATGATACAGATCATTTAACATCCCTGTCTTTCTGTTTCTCTGTCTCTTTCAGGTATGACATGCCAGGCACGCACCTCCTACACTGAAGACGAGGTGCTGTGGGGTCATCGCTTCTTGCCAGTCATGTCTCTGGAGGAGGGCTTTTTCCGAGTGGACTACTCACAGTTCCACAGCACCTTTGAGGTGCCCACGCCACCCTATAGCGTCAAAGAGCACGAGGAGAGGAGCTCGCTCCCCTCCCCTCTGGTCACGCCCCACCGTGACCGGGTCTTCTCCGTCAACTGCTTGGAGCTTGGTGAGGAGCGTGCCGGCCAGGGCAGCGGCAGCGCCTCCTGCAGGCTCCCCAGCAAACTCCAGCGCATGAGCTCATCCGGCAAAGAGGATCTTCAGAGGAAGGTCCTACGTCTATGTTCGCAGCCTTCAGAGAAAGCGTCCAGCACTGGAGATCTGCCCCTGAAGCTGCAGCGGTTGGGCTCTGGCCCAGCGCAGGGAGACGGCGACAGCCGCTTCCACCTCAAGGCTCTGAAAGTGGGCTTCGAACCCATGACCATGTCCACAGGAGATCTCCACCAGAGGAGCTTGCCCCCTACTCCAGCACCTGTCCCTACACACCCTCACGCGCCTCTACATTCACCTCTGCCCTCCACAGCAGGGGGGCGGCCTGAGGACAACCTGCCTGCCAAGCTGCGGAGGATGAACGCTGACCGTTGAGGTCGGCTGGACACCTGGTCTGGTGGAAGTTGTTCTTTGCTGCTGATCTGAGATCAGATTTGTGCAGCAGTCATAGGTCAGATTTGGTGGGACAGGCTGGTCCTGGATCAGCATAGAAAGAACAACTTCTAACCAGAATTAGCAAATATATGGAATGGATGTCCAGAAGTCATGGATAGACTTTGAATAGCATCCTGATGGTGCATGTGGTGAATGCGAAGGACAGAAACAAGAGGGGACTGCAAGGAAGCTGAGACGTGCAAAGACTGATCCATGCATGACGGGAGAGGGTTATTTAGTTTGAATATGTGGTCGTTAGGGGTGTCACGATTCACATATAATTTGTTTTCCTGATATGAGGATTGCACTGTGAATCAAATACAATTAAATTCTATTTGCATTATCAGACATACTGACATAATTGGTAGTCGTTTCCAGAGGGGCTGGCTTTAGTTACTTGTTGGTATTTCTGAATGAGTACCTGAATATTCGTTTGCAAAACCACCCTTAAAAAATAATATTTACACCTTATAATTCATGGAATTTTTAACCCTAGATGCGAAAGATTGATTTCTGCTGTCTTCTGTGCTCTTCTCTAGTCATTTCTCAGTGTTGATGTAGCTTTTATCTGATATGTAAAGAACATGAACCAAAAATTTAGATTTTATTTTTTCACAAATTACCATATTGAACAAGAAAACACATGAAAAGGAATATAAGTCACATCAGTCAGGATTTATCGTTACAATCTGAATTCTGTTCTGAATGAGCTCACATGCTCGATTGGAAAAAAAATTGTGTCTAATGATAAAGGAAACCTCGTGCACATGTTATGCTCTTACTGGATAAAATAAGACACAGGTAGCACTGTAGCACACTGAAAGCTGTGATTTTACATACTGAACTTACTGATCCGACGTAACTCCTCTAGCGGCAGATTGAAATGAGCAGCTTTTTCTTCAGTGACTAGTACTGGGCCTGCCGGGATCATGTAGTTATGCATGTTTGTTACAGCAACAGCTTATTAACACTAAGGGTGGGCAAAACTGATGAAAAGCATCTTTTTTTTTTTTGAAAGACTTTGAAGTAATTTATAAATGCTGTTTATATATAGGCTCTGCATTGACCTACTGTAAAACAAACACGTACAAACTTTATAAAGTAGAAAATTTTGGCACAGCCTGGATTGGAGCAGGAAAGAAAATGCAGGATCTCACTAATATACACATAGCAGAGCTTATAAAGTGGTCACAGATTATGTGTATATGAAGTAAAAGGCCTAAAACCATAGTAAACATAGCCTTCATAATAGCATGGCTTTGTTTAACAACCACTATAGGAGATGCTAACCAGCTTACAGGTTATTCCAGTAATATTAAGAGAAATATTTAATGAAGGATAAACTGTAAAGCAGTAATAAACATATGCGAGGAGGTTTCCCAGACTGTGACATACCATCTGAGCATTTTCCACACAGCTTTAGTGTCCTGATAGTTCAGATGAGTTGTAAAATTATGGAATTATAATATAATATAATAAACAATATGGTTGTCCACAATCATATAGTTTAATTTTAGTGCACTTACACTATAAGAACAGAAGATGCCTCATGTCTTTAATATGTAAAGCATGTGACCATTGCTTTGGAACTTACTTACTTGAGCAATTGTGGCAGTCTGAGGTTTCTCCAGGAGGGGGCACAAGCAAGTTGCTTTTGTTACAGATACATATTTCAAGTGATTCAGCATAATTGTTGTCTCTCCTGCCAACCTCTTATCGCACATTTTGCGCTGAACATTTTTCTTGTCTTCCGATAATTTAAAGTACTTTCAGCTTCGGTGTCTACAGGGAAGGCTACGCAGTTTGTTGCGCTCTAAGGCAAGTTTACGTGGATGAACCAGACACATTTTTAAAAAAAGACTTTCCAAATATTAACAAGAGCAGTTCTATTTATAGCATTTGCTCATATAACATGTTGTAGTTAAAGCTACAGTTTCTGTTGTTAAAAAAGACAAATCCTCTACAAACTAAATAGAGTAATGAATACCAACAAACAAACGAATACTCAAGTATTCAGATCATTCAGGCCAGCCCTCACTTCCCCTTTTATATTATTCTGATAAAACACTGAATAAAATAACTGAAATTTCAGACACAAAATGAAGAAAAACTCCACTGTGCTGCAACTGAAACCGTCTACACTTTCCGCATTTTTAAATTTATTTGACTTGTCTTAATTATGCTTTCACCAGTTTCAGCAGTCTTAGCAACTGGACATATAAACAACAAAAGCGTAATGAATGTTTGTTCAGTTTTACTTTTGTTTTGGAAATATATTGTACTGCAGTGCATAAACCCCAATATATATCACATTGTGAAATTTGACCCCGTTTACACTTGATCGTTTCATATACTTGTATCTGGATTGTGACCTGATAAGAGTTTAACTACATGCATTTACATGTGATAGTCAGATACATTTCACATTAGAATGAAATCTGGTTGCTGTATAGCATGTAACATGCAAATTAGTGCTAACTTTGATATTCAAGCATCCATAAGGGTTAATAAATGGATGACTGATTAACCGTGAGGATGGAAAAAACAATGCACAGAAAACAGACTCAGCCAATATTTATGTAGGGCTGTAGGCTTAGCTTTTTAGGCAACCACACTGGTGTTGCACAAAAAATAGAGTCCTGGTACTCAAGATGCATGAAACAACCAGGTGCAAAAGGGGTCTCTGTGCATCGTTACACCCCTAAGTGTCCATTTCACAGAGCACCAGACTCTAGCTGGGACTAATGTTACTCTGCTGCTTTAGTCGGTTACTTCAAACTCTGTTCACACACACAAACACACATGTCACCATGTGGGCATGCATTCACATCCACCATCTCTGTGTAGCACCCCTCCCTCATCCCATAGTTTTGAAATGAATAAATTCTATTTAAGAGGCCCCTGTTGTACTTTTGATTTTGAGTTGCTATTATTTCCCTTTTTTTTAACCTCAGATCAAAATGTTTAGTAGATGATACTATACGTTCTGTACAGCCATTGAATTTGTGATCCAGATAACCATGTTGCTGCACTTTTGATGTGCAGGTGCATTACCCATAGATGAATTACATTTTTTTGGGACAAGTGGGATCGTATTCAAAATAATCATTTCCTTTCATTGTTTATTCATGCGACATGAGCGATGTTTTATTCATGCAATATCAAGACGGACTCGATGTTGCATGAATAAAACAATGTAATGAAACTATTATTGTGAATTCTATCCCACAAAATACAAAATATGTGATTCAGATGTGCTTGAAATAAGCAGATACTGTAGCCTTTCATACCCTATGCACCTGAAAAACAAGAAAAAAAAAGTTGCACAGGGCTTCAGGCCACAGCCCACCCACCCAAGATCACCTTAATACTGGCTGTTTTTTTTATATTTATGAAAATAGGTGATAAAACAAAAGAACTTGTGTGAACATGAATTCTAGAACTGTGTGACTGTGGGGGAACCTTTTAGAACAGTGTGACTGTTGAGAACATACTAAAAAGTGTGATCGTGGGAACAAATTCTAGAACAATGTGACTGGGGGATCATACTAGGACAGTGTGACTGAAGGGATCAGAATAGAACAGTGTGAACAGGGGAACACATTTTAGAACAGTTTAAATAGGGGAACACATTTTAGAACAGTGTAAATAGGGAAACACATTTTAGAACAGTGTGAATGGGGGAACACATTATTTTAGAACAGTGTAAATAGGGGAACACATTTTAGAACAGTGTAAATAGGGGAACACATTTTAGAACAGTGTAAATAGGGGAACACATTTTAGAACAGTGTAAATAGGGGAACACAATTTAGAACAGTGTGAATGGGGGAACACATTTTAGAACAGTGTGAATGGGGGAACACATTTTAGAACAGTGTAAATAGGGGAACACATTTTAGAGCAGTGTAAATGGGGGAACACATTTTAGAACAGTGTAAATGGTTGAACACATTTTAGAACAGTGTAAATAGGGGAACACATTTTAGAACAGTGTAAATGGTTGAACACATTTTAGAACAGTGTAAATAGGGGAACACATTTTAGAACAGTGTGAATGGGGGAACACATTTTAGAACAGTGTAAATGGGGGAACACATTTTAGAACAGTGTGAATGGGGGAACACATTTTAGAACAGTGTAAATAGGGGAACACATTTTAGAACAGTGTGAATGGGGGGAACACATTTTAGAACAGTGTGAATGGGGGAACACATTTTAGAACAGTGTGAATGGGGGAACACATTTTAGAACAGTGTAAATAGGGGAACACATTTTAGAACAGTGTGAATGGGGGAACACATTTTAGAACAGTGTGAATGGGGGAACACATTTTAGAACAGTGTAAATAGGGGAACACATTTTAGAACAGTGTGAATGGGGGAACACATTTTAGAACAGTGTAAATAGGGGAACACATTTTAGAACAGTGTGAATAGGGGAACACATTTTAGAACAGTGTAAATAGGGGAACACATTTTAGAACAGTGTAAATAGGGGAACACATTTTAGAACAGTGTGAATAGGGGAACACAATTTAGAACAGTGTGAATGGGGGAACACATTTTAGAACAGTGTGAATGGGGGAACACATTTTAGAACAGTGTAAATAGGGGAACACATTTTAGAACAGTGTGAATGGGGGAACACATTTTAGAACAGTGTGAATGGGGGAACACATTTTAGAACAGTGTGAATGGGGGAACACATTTTAGAACAGTGTAAATAGGGGAACACAATTTAGAACAGTGTAAATAGGGGAACACATTTTAGAACAGTGTTTATGGGGGAACACATTTTAGAACAGTGTGAATGGGGGAACACATTTTAGAACAGTGTAAATAGGGGAACACATTTTAGAACAGTGTGAATGGGGGAACACATTTTAGAACAGTGTGAATGGGGGAACACATTTTAGAACAGTGTAAATAGGGGAACACATTTTAGAACAGTGTGAATGGGGGAACACATTTTAGAACAGTGTGAATAGGGGAACACAATTTAGAACAGTGTGAATAGGGGAACACAATTTAGAACAGTGTAAATAGGGGAACACATTTTAGAACAGTGTGAATAGGGGAACACAATTTAGAACAGTGTAAATAGGGGAACACAATTTAGAACAGTGTAAATAGGGGAACACATTTTAGAACAGTGTGAATGGGGGAACACATTTTAGAACAGTGTGAATGGGGGAACACAATTTAGAACAGTGTGAATGCGGGAACACAATTTAGAACAGTGTGAATGGGGGAACACATTTTAGAACAGTGTGAATGGGGGAACACAATTTAGAACAGTGTGAATGGGGGAACACATTTTAGAACAGTGTGAATGGGGGAACAC